GATATTAAACCACAACCTACAAACACCTGATTTTTGACAAAGATGCCAAAATTAAACAATGGAAAAGATAAAGCATATTCAATAAGTGGTGCTGGCCTAACTAGATGCTGGCATGTAGAAGATTGCAGATAAATCCATGTCTGTCACCATGCAAAAAACTTAAGTCCAAAGGGATCAAAGACCTCAACATAAACCCATCCACACTGAACCTCTTAGAAGAGAATTGGTACAGGAGACTGCTTCCTGAACATAACACTAGTAGCACAGACACTGAGATCGACAATTAATAAATGGGACCTCCTGAAACTGAGAAGCTTCTGTAAGGAAGCTTCTGTAAGGCAAAGGACACAGACAAGACAAAACGACAGCCCACAGAATGGGATAAGATATTCACCAACCTCACATCTGACAGACGGCTGATTTTCAAAATACACAAAGAATTCAAGACGCAAGTCTCCAAAGCACCAAACAATCCTATTAAAAAGTAGGGTACAGAACTAAATAGAGAATTCTCAATAGAGGAATCTAAAATGGTTAAAAGACACTTTTTAAAAAAGTGCTCAACATCCTTAGCCATCAGAAAAAAATGCAAATGAAAACAACTCTGAGATACCATCTTGCACCTGTCAGAATAGCTAAAATCAAAAACACCAATGACAGTTTACACTGGAGAGGATGTGGAGAAAGGGGAACACTCCTCCACTGCTGGTGGGAGTGCAAACTTCTGCGACCACTTTGGAAATCAGCGGTTTCTTAGGAAAATGGGAATCAATCTGCCTCAAGATTTAGTAATTCCACTCTTAGGCATATACCCAAAGGATGTGCATCCATACAACAAGGACATATGTTCAACTATGTTCATAGCAGCGTTGTTTGTAATAGCCAGAACCTGGAAGCAACCTAGATGCCCCTCAACCGAAGAATGGACACAGAAAATATGGTACATCTGCACAATGGAGTACTACTCAGAGAAAAAAAAAACGATGAAATCTTGAAATTCTCAGGCAAATGGGTGGAACTGGAAGAAACCATCCTGGGTGAGGAAATCCAGTCACAGAAAGACAAGCATGGTGTGTACTCGCTCATACATGGATATTTGACATAGCCTACAATCCACACCACCAGAGAAGCTAGAAAACAAGGAGGAGGGCCGGGCGATGGTGGTGCACGCCTTTAATCCCAGCACTCGGGAAGCAGAGGAAGGCGGATCTCTGTGAGTTCGAGGCTGGGCTGGACCAACAGCCTCCAAAACAATACAGAGAAACCCTGTCTCATAAAACCAAAAAATAAAAAAAGAAAACAAGGAGGATCCTAAGAGAGAAGTACATGGCCCCCCCAAAGAAGGGAAAAGGGACAAGATCTCCTGAACAAATTGGGAGCATTGGGGGAGAGGGAGGGAGGTAGGAGAAAGAGGAGGGGAGAAAAGGCAGGGGGAGGAGAACATGAGGGATCAGGAAGACTGAGACAGGGGAGGAATAGAGGACAGCAAGAAAAGAGATACCTTAATAGAGGGAGCCAGCATAGATTTCAAGAGAAATCTGGCACTGGGCAAATGTTCAGAGATCCACAGTGATGACCCCAACTAAGAATCTAGGCAGTAATGGAGAGGCCGCCTTTGACGCCCTTTCCCTATAACGAGATTGATGACTACCTTAATTGCCATCCTAGAGCCTTCATCCAGTAGCTGATGGAAGCAGAAGCAGACACCCACAGTTAAGTACTGAGCCATACTCCTGGAATCCAGTTGTAGAGAGGGAGGAGGCATGAGCAAAGCAGTCAAGACTGTGCTGGAGAAACCTGCAGAAGCAGCTGACCTGACCTAGTGAGAGCACACGGACCCTAGTTGTAAAGCTGGGGAACCAGTGTTGGACAGAACCGAGCCCTCTGAATGTGGGTGCCAGTTAGGAGGCCTGTGCAATCTATGGGACCTCTAACAGTGGAACCAGTATTTATCCCTAGTGCACAAATGGACTTTGGGAGCCCATTCTCTATGGAGGGATACTACTGCAGCCAGCCCAGATACACAGAGGAGGGCCTACGCCCTTCCCCAAATGATGTGACAGACTTTGATGACCCCCCATGGAAGGCCTCGCTATCCTTAGGGAGAGAGTGGGGGATGGGGATCACTGAGGAGCATGGGGGGCTGGGAGGGAGAGGGAACAACAGGGGGGATTGATTTGTAAAATAATTGTTTCTAAGTTTAAAAAGAAAGAGAGAGAGAGAGAGAGAGAGAGAGAGAGAGAGAGAGAGAGAGAGAGAGAGAGAGAGAGAAAGGCAGAGGCAGGCAGATCTCTAAGTTAGAGGATAGCCTGGTCAAAAGAGTGAGTTGCAGCACAGCCAGGGCTATACAGAAAAGCCCTCTCTGGGAAAAACTAAAAGAAAAAAATTATCGTCCCTCCCCCTTCCCCCCCACAAGCGCTGACAAGGAAATACTCCACATCCTTCAGTTCCATAGTGTTTCAGGGAAAAGGGTGTGCAAAAGTCAGGGCCCCAAGAGTATGTGGGAGTGATGTTCCACTTCCAGGATAATGGACCACAGCAACGGGAATTCTCTGAGGAAATACCCTTTCTCTATCTCTCGCCACGCCCCACCAATCTTACCGAGGCAATAGCATGCTCCCTTTTGTGGAAACGTAACCCATCACACTGGGACGTGTCCTTGGCTTCCCTTAGCATCCCATGCTGTTCTTGAATTTTCCAGCCAAAGCTCCTAGTGCAGTCGCCAACTCCCCAGAGATCAGCAAGGCTCACAGCAAGGCTGATGGACCCACCCTTTGTGCACACACAAGTGCCCGCTCAACTGGCTTCTCCGCAGCTGCCCGTCAGGCCTCCGTCCCATCTCTGCTTAACAACACTGTGACCCTGCTGTCTGCGCCTCAGCCCCTCCTCATCGTGTTTCTCCTTCTTCTTCCTCCCAACTCCATGAGTTCTCTCCCATTCCCCCTTCTCTTACAACCCCCCGCTCAGACAGACATACCCCCACCTGGGAACTTCCCACCCGGAACTCAGAGGAAAAAGAAAAGCAACCCCATCCTCTAGGAAAAACGGGCTTCCTCTTTGCAAGGTGGCTAGCAAGGACCTTGATACCCTCCAAGTGCTCCTTTCCCTGTGTCTGGCCTATACTAAATGCACTCCAGGCTAGAGCCATTTATCCAGGATGCCGCCACCTTCATTAGTGAATTCCAAAGGCTCCTGTGGCTTTTGAGCTGACTTGATGGGATAATCCACGTCATGCTGATCGCGCCACGCATGCGTGGTTAAAAGGCCTGCATCTGATGTTTCATGCCTGGGCAGGTGAGGTTCACACACACATAACCCCAAATACAGCCTGGTCATGCTCCCTTACTGTGACACACACAGAACCCTGTTGGCCATATTAGGCCACCAATCTAGGAAATAAAGAGGAAGGGTTTACTGATGTTAGGTGATTACTTAAAAAACTAATATCAAATATATTAATTACAATAAGCCACAGGGAGTAAACTACGGGTCTTCCAAGAACCTTCATGCCCGTTTTGACTGTAGGCTAGCTGAAACAATATGCAAGTAAACTGATCTAGACCTTGGGAGTCCAGAGACCAAGACATCTTGACTATACATTTTACAAGCTAAGCCTCTCTAGATATGAGACAAAAGCTCCAAAAACTATGCCAAAAACCCCAGACTACTTTGTCTGCCTTATTAAGCCTAGCCTCAAAAGTCTTTAATTACAAAATAGAGACTTCGAGGACCAGGAGGGTCAAACTGGAGGAAGAAAGGGACAAGAGGCAGATATATTTAATGGCGATGGCAATAGGCCTCCCTACCCAGCTCGGGAAATACTTGAGCTTCTGTCTAGTAGCCACCAGTTCAGTATGAGACTAGCTGGAACAATTCAAGCCAGCAACACCCAAGGTCATGGAATCAGAAATGACCACCATCATCATGTACAATCTGCAAAGTGTATTAGACACAAAATGTTCTAATAATTCTACTAATAATTGGCCTTCAAGAAGGGAGGCCAGTATTCATCTGTGAAAGGACAAATATTTCCGATTCTTTTCCTGGACTGTAAGGTACTCTATGAGGCATGGGGGGACATGGAGGGGATCTTCTCCCTTTGAGGACTAACAGATTTCAGGAACTCTAAAAGCTCCTATGTTCTGCATCTCTAGAGATGAGACTAGGGCGACTCTAGATATGGCAAGGGGGGGGGAATTACTTTCATTTTAGATATTGCCATCATTTTGTCAGCCCTTACCACCTTCTCTGGCTCAACCACTCCAGTTTCCAATTCCTCTTACTGATAGTGATGGCAAACTCTAACCAGTGAGTTTACCTGCAAAATATGCAAATCTTTCTTTTCTGGTCTGAAGCAATTGCTTCATTCCCCTCCTCATTAGAAATAGCTTGTCTGAGGGATACTTTCTCAGCCTAGACACACAGGGGAAGGTCTAGGCCCTGCTCCAAATGATTTGACAGACTTTGAAGATCCCCCATGGAAGACCTCACCCTCCCTGGGGAGCAAAATCGGGATGGGATAGGGGGCCAGGGGAGGAGGGGACGGACAGGGAACTGGGATTGACATGTAAAGCAAGCTTGTTTCTAATTTAAATAAAATAAAAAATGGACAAAAAAATTTTAAAAATCATCTTATCTAGAATTATTTTTGTCAGGGACATGGATTCCCCTCTGTTAATAAATGGGGACTTAAAATACACCTCCAACCAGGCTGTAGTGGTGCACACCTTAAATTGCAGCACTCGGGAGGCAGAGGCATGTGGATCTCTGTGAGTTCAAGACCAGCCTGGTCTACAAAGTGAGTTCCAGGACAGCCAGGGCTGTTACATAAAACCTTGTCTCTGGAAAGAAGAAACAAGAAACATATCCAAGTCAAACAGGTAAACCGTTTCTTTAAGTGGCCATGCAAGGAAATGTGACTATCCAATACAAAGGTAAATAGTTTTAAGGTTGTGAATATTTATGAATGGCATGCTATATCATGAAGTAAAACAACTCACCTGCCAGAAATGAAAGGTAGGTATATATGCACAAGTTTTATTTGGAGTATATGGCCCACGTCCCTCTTGACATCTACTGAGGTTATCCAGGGCATAAGCGATTGCATACACGGCTTGTTTGACATTGTTAGTGGTCCTGAGCTGAGATGTATCCAGGTAGGTATTTTTCAGGTCTTCCAGCTTCTCCTCTCCAGTGCAGAGCTGGTCAGACATGTCATACAATCTGTCTTCTTTGCCAGTCATATTCACTCTGTGGTCCACATTATAAGGCACACTGCTATTGGGCCAGGTACAGTTAAAGGCGGTTTGCCAGAATTCAATGGTCAAGACATCATCTGGATCCTTGCTAGGGTGCACATCGTAAAGAAATTCTTTCAGTCCCGGTATAACGGCTCTTGGTATTGCAAATCCAATCGTTCCACCAAAATATGGAAAGTACTCGGGCTTTGCAATGAGGGCTGAGGTAATCCAGGCTTCGCTGGCTATCCAGGTCCTGTCAGTTATGTTATGGTGAACCATTTCCAGCACAAAGGGGCTGAGGTCAATGTCAGAGGTGAAAAGCACGACGACTCTGGCAGTAGATGTCTTCACGGCAGTCACAGCCTTCTGCATTTTCTCGTTGGAGTAGATTTTGGGAATGGTTTCAGAGAAAGCAACGCAGAGGTTGGCAGTCTCCATGTTTTCCTTAAATGTTTTTACTCCATATTTCCCATAGTCATCATCAGCTGCAATAGCGCCTACCCAGACCCAACCAAAGTGTTTGATGAGAGTCACCATGGCCTTGGACTGGACCTTATCACTGGGCACTACACGAAGATAAGATGGAAACTGGAATTTGTCACTAAGAATTGAGCAGGAGGAGGTATAGCCCACCTACAATCGGAAACATTTATAGTTATTAGGAAACCAGAGCCAATTCTTAAAACGACAGCTTCAGAATACTCTGAGAGGGAAATCTCAGAACATCTCTCTTCTTCCTCACATTTTTTTCCACAGGGTGGGGGGGGAATGACTCCATACTTCTACTCAATGAGTGGGGCCCTGCTGTTGGGAGTGTGGTCTGTGTTGTCAACCCCAAGGGGATTAGGGCAGCCCTACCGTTGATAGCATTCAATGCGGTGTTTTTTCATGAGCAGCCCTGGCAGACAGGTCATTAGCCCTTTCCTTTGTCCTCCCTGGAGATATATGGTCACTCCCCTGAGTCACGGCATCCAGACTGCTCAGCAGCTTCAGCGTCTCATGCACAAAGACGATGGGATCAGCCCCCGCCCCCCCCACCAGTTTCTCTAGATTACAGTGTCTCCTCTGCCACCCCCGATTAGTTTCGCTCTCCTCTTTCCTTTCCGTCTTTCTCTTTACTACCCCGTTCTGCCAGGGCTTCAGCACAAGTAGACGCTAAAACTTAGACAGACAGAGGTAGTAAAAGCCTCAGGTGTAAGAAAGCATTTCCTACGATGCTCTCATCTTGTAAGTGTGTAGCTATGCGCACGAAGAAGTCCCCCCCTTTTTTTTTGTCGTTTTTGTTCAGTAATCCTTGCATGCATTTCCCATCTTTTTAGGTCTTGGCAATGGAACTCAGGTCGCCATGTGTTGGTGGCCGTTTTTTTTTGTGTATTTTCTGTGGCTTAACTCTCCATATCGCTCACTCGCCTTATCAGGTTAACTGATGCATCACTCCCAGCGGGGCCTCCTAGACTACAACCCCACAGCCTCACAACTGCCAGTTCCTTCACGGAAGCCAACGCACTCTGTGTTCCCATGTCTTGTCCTTCCGTGTCTCATCCTTAATCCTCTGGCTAACAAACTTTTACGGTCCGTCTTTAGAGTCCCATGGGCAGCAGCATCATAGACGCTATATCTACGGGAAAGAGCATTTTTTTTTTTAAGAAGCAAAGACAGGACTGGGGAGATGGGCCCCGAGGGGGGAAAGCGTTCACCCTGCAAGCCTGATGACCTGAGTTCAGTTCCCAAAATCCCAGGGGCGTACCTATATCTGTCACCTCAGCACTTCAGTAGCAAGATGGGAGGCAGGGGAAAGGAGAATTGGCCAGGAGCTCTCAGGACACCTAGCTTCGAGTTTACCAGACAGAATCAGTAACGAGAGAAACCCTGCCTCAACCTAAGTGGAAGGCAAGAAAGGACACGCTTAAAGTCGCCCTCTGAACTCCATGCTTGTGCCATGGCAAGTGTACGGATACGCTTGCACGTGGGCAATGCCTGTAAAGTTGTCTCAGCTATTGGTAAAAGTTGTCTCAAAAGAATTGGTAGCATCCCAAAAGGATATCCATGGTTGTTTTTTTTTTTTATTCCCAGACCCATTTTAGATTGTGAGTATGAGGACGTAGGTCATGATTCACAAGCATCAGCAGAAACCATAATCCCCCCCCAGCTTTATTCCAGCTACGGACCAACCGCCAAGTGTTTATCCACTTGGAGTTTGGTGGACGCCATCGGTGGAAGCAGGATGTTCTGGGCAGAGTAAACCACCCCCTCAGTGAGCCTCAGTTTCTCACGACTGAAGAGTCACTCAGAACATCGTCACACCCATCCTAGGGGGATCTTTGCAATTCATCTCAGCCTCTCCTGCACTCCTTTTTTTTTTTTTTTTTTTTTTTTTTTTGACAGTCTCCACATACTGTATTTCTTTGAACACTTTTGCTTGTCTTTCAAAACAGGGTTTCTGTGTACAACCCTGGTTGTCTGGGAACTTGCTCTGTAAACCAGACTGGCCTCCAACACAAGAGACCTGCCTGCCTCTGCCCGCCCCCTCCCCAACCTCCCCGAGTGCTGGGCTTAAAGAGTCAGTGAGCTCCACGGGTTTGTTTTTTTTTTTTTAAGTGTACGAGCGTGCTTGCACGAGCTTCTGTGCACCGCGGGCATGCAGCAGCCGGTGAAGACCACAAGAGGACTTCAGCTCCCCTAAAGCAGGAGTTTCGGAAGTTTGAGAGCCACCTTGTGAGTCTTGGGGACTGAATCTAAGTCCTCTGCAAGGACAGCAAGCGCTCCTGACCCCTTAGCCATCTCTCCAGTCCCCGTTTCCGTTCCTTTACAAGCAAGCACCCAGCACAACATTTCGAGAGATACCTGCGGCATGTAATACAACCCCAGGATTCTTGAAGCTGCGACTGACAGGGACGATCCCCCTGCTCCGACCATTCCTGCCAGAATTGACCCAGTGCTGTTTCTAAAGTTGGGCTGGAATTCTTCCTGACCGGTGAGAAACACTAAAGCTGACTCCATTGCTTTGGTGATGGTGTAGCAGGAATCGAAGATCTGATAGCCCAGAGTGTGGTTGGGCAAGATGTCCTTCCTCTCGTTAATCTCCTTGATGGTGTGGATCATGGTTTTCATCCAGCGGAATCCCCGGAAGTTAAACCTGGAAAGGAAAAAGCTTTAGTGGGGGACTGTGTCACTGGGAGGGGGTGGGGTGGGGCGAGGGGGGTGCTGGGGATGTGGGTGGGGACGGGAGGGCCAGTGGGGGTGGGAGGGCCAGTGGGGGTGGGGTGGGCACTGGGTTGTGAGAATGGGGGGCGGGGCTTTCCCAGGAAGGAGCTTCATCTACAAAGCGATTACAGCTTTCTGCTGAAGCAGCCGCTGGTTCCTCAGTCCTCTGCTCTTGTGGCATTACACGCTTGGAATGTGCAAGGGAATCACATTCACTATTGATTAGCAGTCATGGGAATCTAACTTTGTGCATTTTTTGCCATATATATAAAATAATATAAAATGCATATATTATATATATATATATAATCTTTTACATGCTGTGATTTCCCTCAAATGGCCAGTTATCTCTCGGTCACAAAGATATACTTCTAGCTAGAATTCTTTTCAGCAGCAGCCCCTGGTCTTCCCCTCTCATGGGAAGCCCCTAACCCATATGATTCTTCTCCTTCCTTACGTTGACCTGTGCTCTTCTGGACACTAGCAGTGATTATTTTTTTTAAATGACTAGAATACATTAAGAGCGGTCAGAAGAACAGGATGGTGCCTAATGCAGCTGTCAGGAGAGAGGCTTAGCCCAACCGCGGATGCAAACAGAGGCAAGAGACCCGCAGACAAACATTTAGGTGGACCTCCAGGAATGAGGGATAATAAGGATTGTAGGGCCCAGTGGCGTCAAGGACAACACGAGGAGGACCCATAGAGCCAACTAAACTGGGCTCACGGGAGCTCACAGAGACAACCGAACCCACAGCCGGGGGAGCCCGCACTAGACTGACCTAGGCGCTCCGTGTATGTATATGTTACAGCTGGGTAACCTGGTCTTCTTGTGGGACTTCTAGCAGTGATAACGGGGGGGGGGGGCTGTCTCCCACTCTGTTGCCTGCCTTTGGGGCCCTTTCCTCCTGCCAGACTGCCTCATCCAGCCTTAATAGGAGAGGGGGTGCCCGGTCTCACTGCAACTTGGTATGTCGAGGCTGCCTGAGACCCAGGGGAAACCTGCCCTTTTCTGAAGAGAAACAGGAGGAGGAGTGAAGGAGAATGGGGGGGGGGGCTGGAAGGAAAGGAGGGAGGGGAAACTGTGGTCAGCATATAAAAATAAACAAAAATAAATAATAAATGAAATTATTCTTATACAATTAAAAAACCACTAAAAACACGTTAAGACACTTAAAGCAGGAGTACAAAAAAAAAGCATTACAAAACTTGTGTATAATACAACTCCAATTGCATAATCCTTCTTCTGAGATTTAATATTTAATACTAAAGGATATTTATCGTGTTACAGCATTCTTTTAACTCTCTACCCGTTAAAATAGGTGTTGCAGTTCAGTATCACATTTTTTTCCAATTCCTCCACTACATAACAAGTAACTTTTCCATTTCCTTCTTTCTCTCCTCAGCGTTAAAGCGCATTTTAACGTACTAAAGGCAAGTTCTCCAACATTGCTTTATGCCTCGACGTCTTCCGCAGGTATTTAACTTTGTGATTTCAGTAATCGTTTTATTAAATACCCAACAACAGGAAGCTGGAGAGATGGCTCGGCATTTAAGAGCACTGTTGCTTTTATAGAACATCCAGCTCTGATTCCCAGCACCCACATGGAGGTTCACAACCATCCACAACTCCAGTCCTAGAGGATCTGATATCCAACTCTGGCCCCCGCAGGCTCCAAACACGTACACGGTGCACGTAGATGGACGCAGGCAAAACATTCAAACATTGGAAAAATAAATAAATAATTCTAACAATTAAAAACATATTCAACGACAAATAACCCTTTTGGAACACTGGGATTTTTCCCTTCCCAGTATCACTTCGACTGAATTTTCACGTAGGAGGCAACTCTTTTGTTTCCCAAGACAATGTAGCACAACAGTAAAACGGTAAACACTGCACACTCTGGTTATGAAACAGGAAAAAAAAAATAGCCAAAGGGTTCAGCACAAAAGGCAGCCATCTGAGTCGCTGAGGACCAGAGGGGCGCCCAGGCCTGCAGGAACTTACAGGCATGCTGAAGGTTAAAAGGTGACCACGGGAAACAGAAGGGGGCCGCCACGTGTGTCGAGGCTCCACAGCAAGGGAACACATTAGCTCAAGGAATGGAAAGAGGGATGTGGCTGGAGGAGGGGGGCTCGGTGAAGGGGAGAAGAGGACCTCAGAGAGCCTGCGCCCCCAGCCCAGGCTGCGGTTTCCAGATTAACAACCGTGACCTCATCAAACTTTTGAAATGGATGTAGCATACAAGCAGGACAGAACGAGCTTGTATGTCCACTGACAGAACCTCAACTGTATGAGAATGCTTTCCACCATTACAAAACAACTATCCGAGAAAGATACAGTAGTGAGAACACAATTATTAGTGAAGCAGGCAATATGAACCCTTCCTGTAATTAAAGCCATGCATGAGGCATTTTAAGGATAAGCAGGGAAACCATTTTAAGCCATCACAGGATAATTACTAAAAAAGATGGGATCTGCGATAAAGTTTCCTTCATTCATTAATTTTTCACTATGAGGCTCACAATACTTCATGACGTATTTCCTGACTACCAAACAAAACTTAAATACCCCCTTTCTTTTCTCCATTTCATTATTTTTCTCTATTCTGGGCAACGTTTTCAAAACACACTCTTCCTGTTTTACGAACACTTGACAGTAGGCTACTGAAATTGCTATTGTGCTAAAGTTGTTTATTTCAGAACAAAATGTCTCCAAAGCCCACATTGGAGTTCTGGATCAGTTAGTTAAAGTTTGTGATTCAAAAAATAAAACTGGCATTGCTTAGTCTGACACTGGATTTTGAACACTACATAGACCATTGGAAGGAAAAGTCGGATCCTATGGAAGACTAGTAAGAGGCTTGGAGAACACTGGGGATGGATAGGCCGAAGGAACTTCTGACAGATAATGGTGGAAAATAATCATAAAGATCAATTTTTAAAGAAACTCAATTTTTTAACATAAGACCAAGATGTAGTCACTCAATTTCTAATTCAATGATTACATAAATCCCAAAATAACCCTAATTGGGAAATTATTTTTAAATAACACACACATCATTATTTTAAATAAGACATATCTCAACTATGGTGTGATAACCTTTTTTTTTTTTTTTTTTTTTTTTTTTTGGTTTTTCAAGACAGGGTTTCTCTGTGGCTTTGGAGGCTGTCCTGGAACTCGCTTGGTAGTCCAGGCTGGTCTCGAACTCACAGAGATCCGCCTGCCTCTGCCTCCCAAGTGCTGGGATTAAAGGCGTGCGTCACCAGCGCCCGGCATAATAACCTTATTTTAAGGGAGGAAAATTCTTATTTTAAAATTTGTGTATTGTCTTTACCGTCTAACACTGCTGGGAGAGAGAGCTTCAGAAGTTCCAGCGAAGGGTGGAGAGCAAATTAAGTAATTCCACTTATAAAATGTCAATGTGTTAATTGTGGTGGGCTCTAAGTTTTCATTTCAGGTTACTGGGGATTAAAGAAGTGAAAACTCCTGTTATGAATAAAACTTGACTCTACAATAATCTATTTGTGAGTAAAACCCCATGTCTTCTCCCTCCGTTCCCTTTCGAGTCACTGTACGAGTGGGAAACCGTCACCGGCTTGAGGAAGGGGCTCACTGTGCAGCTTCGTATTTTCTGAGAGATGATTATGACACCTCAAACACGGAGCTTGAAGCATTTCAAAGGAAAGAAGCCGTGGTCAGTGAAGACGCGAAGCTGTCAGAGACTGCTAAATGTTTACAGTGTGCACTAACAACTCTAACGGCCACGAGGCTTCATGGGAATGCCTAGGGTGTTAGGTAAAAGGCCCAGCTAAAACAGTGCTTGTGTTACAGTTACAACTATTTAAAGCATGTGTGTGTGTGTGTGTGTGTGTGTGTGTGAGACAGAGAGAAAGAGAGAGAGAGAGAGAGAGAGAGAAAGGGGGCCAAGAAATGACACAGAAAAAAATGGAAAGTTGCTTTCTGATAACAATAAGTTGTTGGTAATTTGCTTTGCTTTCTACAATTTGTGGCATTCTTTTCATACTGAAGTGATTGTGGGGTGTGTGTGTGTGTGTGTGTGTGTGATGTACAGACAGTTGTCCTATCCATGCTTTGTGTCTCTCACAGCTGATTACCGGCACATTCTACTATCAGACACGGATCCTGTTTTCTGAGGAGGCAACTTGGAGGTGCAAACACTAAGGGCAAATGCCTTCCAGCAGGGTAGGTGGTGCTCAGATACATCAGTCTTCCCTGCAGTGTGCTTCTCCTGGAGAGAGGTTTATCTTTGCCAATTAACAGTAAAGCTGCAGTCCTGCATAACTCTGCATCCGTGCTTCCCAAACCTCGGTGCGCACGTGGATTAGCAGGAGTCTTCTCAAAACATAGGTTCTCGTTCTGCAAGTCCGGAATGCAGGCCCCTAACTCTAACAAGCCTCTGACAAGCGCTTACGCACCGCTGCTGCTGAACCACAGAGCACCCTGTGAGAAGCAACCACTCTGCACAGCGTCAAGACTCCAGCTGGAGACCCAAGCCCCATGATCGCCCCACTCCTCCCCACCATCTGAATTGACAAAAAAAAAAAAAAAAAAGACTAAAGAAAGGCTTACCCTTCACACATGGGTGACACTGGTTCCAAAATAGATTCATCTAGGGGGATGATCCTGGAGTGAATAGGAAACAGTCCTGCAATAACAAGTGAGTGGTTTTTGGCGTCTACATATCCAGACAAATTAAACTTGGCCATCAACCTGCACTGGGGCTCCTCCGTTGTTTTGTCTTGAGCTCCCAATTCAGCCCATAAAAACGCAAGAAATCCTAGAGCCAAGCATGTCATTCGGCTGGCCATCTTAGTTCAGTGTCCGGAGAAACTGACTAGGGTGGAAATCGCACGCTTTTTTTTTTTTCAGTGAAGCGTCTTGATTGAGCGTGAGAGTGTGCGTGTCCCGGTGGACTAGGCTTGCCCCTACTTGCTACATAATTCTCATGTCTCAATCACAGGCCTTGCAATCACTCGCAATTTGTGGATCTGGACTGGAAGCTGAGCAAGGCTTGGAGAAGAAACTTCTGAAAATCCCCTTATGCTTTGTGATAAATAAGTGACAGAATTCAGTAGATTGTAACTCTTCCACCTGTACATTTCCATCTAAAAGCTTAGAAGAAACCACTGCCAGATAGAAGTCAGAGTGAAGGGAGAACCCCCTTTGCCACACTGCTTTAACAGATCAATCATTTTCACGATTCCACATTCGTCTCTTATACCCAGTAAGTACTCATGCAGTCCTGTTGGGTTATGTGGTTTGTTTTTTTTGTGTGTGTGTGTGTGTGTCCTTTACACTTCTCTATATTTTCCTATACGAACTCTCCAGCGTGGGACTAAGGAGACAGTTCCGTGGTAAAAAGTTATCGCTGCGCAAGTACAAGGACCAGAGTTTGGATCCCAGCACTCTTACAAATGCGGGATGAGCATGCGTGGCAGACAGCCTGTTGGCAGAAGCCGTACCCCCAAAGGCAAAGCAGGAAGCCACCCTAGACGAATCAGCTCTTAGTTCAACTGCAAGGCTGCCCTCATTTATAAAGCGGGGCATGGCCAGGGAAGACAGCCCAGGTCAACCCCTGCCCTTCATACCATAGGCACACGTGTGAACACGTACCTGCCCACACACATGCCTACAGACACACCCCCACACGTGCACCCTACATAACACGGTGTCTTGCATGTATTTAATGAACAAAACTGTACTATTGGAAAGCTTTTATTTTTCTGATTATGTGCCTCAACACACATTTCGCATATGGTACCATTATCCCCAGTCACCTGGGCCACACTTCATCCCTACTGTAGGATTTCTCTGTTGTCTCCCACTGACGTTGGGGGTTGGGGGGGAACCCCAGAGAGCCTCCCATTCCTACTTCGCTGGTGAACCATGGGGCCATGCTAATTTTGCTACGGCTGGCTCAGCCTTCACAAGGGACCCGGAAGGTGACTTCCTGACCCTGATCAAGTTTGTCCCTAGGTGGTCACGTGTCTTACTAGTCCTCTTTTCCTGAAGTGTGGGTGGTCCACATAATCTCCCGTCATGCTTCCACGTGTTGGTGACAAGATTTAGTGGATACGCAGGAGTCTTGGGCGAGTTTCCCGGGATGGCTTCAAAGTTGGGCTGCATCCAAACAGAACGCTTGATGAGAGACTAGGTGAATGGCCGCTCCTCGCTGCTACCAACGCGAGAATCCCCCCTGAGCTCTTAATAAAGGCTTAGTTCTGGACTTTCTCAGAATGTCTTGGAATGATTCATCACTCATGCCCTGGCCCTCCCTTTCTTTTTATTTACTTACTTGCTGGTTTTCTTGTTTTCACATCCCAACCAAAGCTTCCCCCTCCCCTCCCGCATCCCCTCCCTACCCACCCGCGCCTTCTCCTCTGTTTCTCTTAGAAAAGAGCAGGTATCCCGTGGATATCAGCCAGGCGTGATGTGTCAAGTTGCAGTGAGACTGGGCACCCCCTCTCCTATTAAGGCTGGATGAGACATTCTGGCAGGAGGAAAGGGCCTCAAAAGCAGGCAACAGAGTCAGAGACAGCCCCCCCCGTTCTCACTGTTAGAAGTCCCACAAGAAGACCAGGTTACCCAACTGTAACATATACGCGCTCGGAGCGCCTAGGTCAGTCCAGTGCGGGCTCCCCAGCTGTGGGTTCGGGTGTCTCTGTGAGCTCCCGTGAGCCCAGTTTAGTTTGACACCACTGGGTCCTACGATCCTTCCTCCCCCTCTTCCGAAGGGCTCCCCAAGATCTACCTTGCCTTTTGCTGTGGGCCTCTGCATGTGTTTCCCTCGGTTGCTGGATGAAGCCTCTCTGCTGACAGCTGGACTAGGCGCCAATCATGTTTGTCTTTCTGGGTCTTATTTACCTCATTCCCGGTTATCTTTCCTAGTTCCATCCATTTATCAGCGAATTTCCCAGCGGTTTTTTTTTAACAGCTGAGTAGTACTCCATCGTGTAAATGTACCACATTTTCTTCGTCCATTCTTCAGTTGAGGAGCATCTAGGTTGTTTCCGGTTTGGGACTATTACGACTAAAGCTGCTATGAACATAGTTGCGCAAGTATCCTTATGGTATGGCGGAGTGCCCTTTGGGGATGCGCCCAGGAGTTACCACTGGCCTCCCTTTCTTACCTCAGCCGCTATATCTGAGAATTACCCTTTGGTTGTTGCCAAGCCTACTTGGAAAAGTTATGTTTATCACCCAGGAATTCTGGTCCTAATTCTCTGAGGAAATGCTATACTGGAAGTGATAAAAATCGTTGACATATTTTGTTATCTTAGTATTTTTCAAAGATTTACTTTCAGTTGTGGGTAGGTGCGTGCACATGAGTGCGCATGTCCTCAGAAGACAAAGGCATTGGTTCTGCCAGAGCTGAAGTTACAGAGAGTAGCCTGATGTAGGTTCTGGGAACCAAACTCAGGTCTTCTGACGTGCAGCGAGCGCTGTTAACCACTGAGCCAGCTTTCCGGATGCTGTATGAGTGCTTCATACTTTCAAATGGTCTCCTCGTTCCTTAGTCTTCCTCTAGGTCGGGAATTACATTCAGGCTGAGGAGACTCCTGACCTGTGCACCGTCATCTGGTATCCAGTGTGGGAATCTTGAAAGCACTGTTAGATTTCTCAGGGCCACAGTGACTGCATCCCTCCAAGTGTCGTAGAAGTCAACAAAGATAAAGCAAGGGCGACAGAAAGCCACCTCTGCCCTCGGAGACAGGGGTCTTGGGAAAGCCACCTCTGCCCTCGGAGGCAGGGGTCTTGGGAAAGCCACCTCTGCCCTCGGAGACAGGGACTTGGGAAATGCACCCTGAAGGATGCCCAGTGCTTCATCTCACAGCACAATGCCTCCGGATACCGTTTTTGTTTTCTTCGTTACACAAAAATGAAGCGACATGAGCTCATGCGGCTAATGCACTCTGAGACACAGGCACCAAAGCCCGCGATCTGCTTTAGACCTCGTGGAGAGGAAGCAAGCCAGGTCCAGAAGGTGGATCATTGCAGACTTTTCTCAGAAGCCGAGAGCTTAATGAACCAGTGATGCTCTGATTGTGGGCAAAGCCTCTCCAAGGCTCAGACTGAATGGCTCGATGATAGTAACACTGCTGTTACCTGCAGTGGACGGAGTTGTTTCTTTCTGGGTACTTCAGGCCTAAGTACCATTTCCACAGATTTCTGAGGACTAGAGCCCTTAGTTCAGAAAAATGTTGGTGTAAATGACCTTGGGTGTTTGAGCACATATCCACGGCCCAGACTCCTGGATCAAGACAGTGACTGTTTCCCCCACTCTCCCAGTCTCATCGGGTCCCTGAAGTTCTCTGAGGACACAGGCAGTCAGGCCTCTTCCAGAAATAGTGACAGATTCTGTCTAGACCTGTCTTTGCCTCCAAGCAAAGAAAACACCTGAGCCCGTTAAGGCTCTGAAAAATGAACCGTCTTATTAACAAAAGCTGAGTGTTTGCAACGGTTTGCATGTAAAAATGTCCCCCTGTAAGCTCACGCCTCGTTCCCCGGCTGACAGGGCTGACTGGGGAGATTATAGAATGTTTAGCAAGTGAGGCCTAGCTGTAGGAACTGAGGCCTAGCTGTAGAATGTAGGTAACCGTAGATGATCTTACCTCCAGGCCCTACTCTCTATTTGCTTCCCGTCTACGCTCACGATGTAGCCAACCGTAAGGCTACAAACTTAGAGCTGCAGCCACTCCGCTCCCCCATCGTGAAACCGATCTAAAGTAAACTGTACTTCCTCTGACTTATTCCTGTTAGGCATTTCCCCTAAAATCAGATGGTGGTGGTTTATCTGTGTGTCTGTGTGAAAGGAATACTGAACTACAGAGTTCTCTGTACGAGCCTCTTTGTGGTAGACAGACTACATGGCTGTCACTTAGAACGGGAAGTGTCCCCGGAGGATCTGGGATCTAAAAGCTCGGGTCCCAGTAGCTGGCGCTGTTTGGTGGAGGTTGCAGAGACACAGGCGGCCTCGCTGAAGGAAGTACAGCCCTGGGGGTGGGCTTAGAGAGTTTAAAGCCTGGCTCTGCCTTTGCCTTTGCTGTCTGCTCGGGGATTGCACTGGAAGATGTGAGCTCTCAGTTCTGCCTCCATGATGAATGTTTTGTCTCTTTCCTTCTTCCCTTGAGACTGGGTTTCACTGTGTAGCTTTGGATGGCCTGAAACTCACTGTGTAGACCTACTCACTATATGTAGCTCTGGATGTCCTCGTACACACCAAGGCCCATCTACCTCTGCCTCCTGCGTGTTGGAATTAAAGGTATGCAACACCCACTCGTGGCTCATAATGGACTCTTACCCCTCTGGAGCTGTAAGCCCAAATAAATTCTCTTCTGGGCTGTTACTGGTCATGATGGTATGATGTGGGATGATGCTATTGCTCACTGTAAATATCTGTCACTTATATTGGTTTAATAAAAAGCCGATTGGCCAGTAGCCAGGCAGGAAGGGTAGGTGGGACTACCAGACTAGGAGAATGCTGGGACGAGGAAAAGACCCAGACACCGTCACCAGCCAGACACGCAGAGGAAGCAAGGTGAGATAAGGTACCAAGCTATGTGGCTGAACATAAACAAGAGTTAGGGGTTAATTTAAGTTCTAAGAGCTTGTTAGTAATAAGCCCAAGCAATAGACCAAACGGTTTATGGTTAATATAAGCCTTAACGTGTTTATTTGGGACCGAAGGGTCTGCAGGACAGAAACTTCTGTCTATGATGGTATTTTCTCACAACACCAGACATATTTAACACGATACTATTAACACGCAAAATTAATATGATAATGTTAAAATGTTGAAAAACTGTCTGGAGACTGAAGTGGTTAATTTTGTATCTGCAAGGGAATGGACCAGAAATAGAGACAGGCAGGATATTAAATTTTTTCTATC